TTTCTTTTAGATAATACATAAAAATCATAACCATCTTCGTCCACCTTTTTAAATTATTAATGTTCAAAGTTGGACAATTGTCGGAAGAAGCCCAGGAAACAAAGTATAAAGATTTTAAAAAGTTTTGGAATTACAAGAGCAGGAAAATTTCAAGAACAGCAACAAATGAAAACATCTTTCACAGATTATTATTAACATCTGATCCAATCATATCAAAATAAGATTAAAATCATACAATAGGAGAAGCAAATTATTAGATCCTAAAGCTATGCAATTACACAAATAAGGACAGCAGAACTCAGCCCATAACTTCAAAAACCCTGGGAAAAATTTTAATGGGAGATTCTAGAGGCCAAAATAAGACGAAAATCAAGAATATCAATTTCTTGGCTGAGGCTTCATTAAAAAGTTATTAAAAAATAAAATTTCAAAATTTCAAATCATTCTGAAAAAATTATTTTTGATTGCGGGGCTCAATCACAGTCATTTTTGATGAATACACATACCCCTGAAATCCTACCCACTTTCAGGAAAAAACATCGAGTAGGTACTGAAATTTTTAGACGAAGTTAAAAAATGTCAAATCATACTAAAAAAATTATATTTAGTTACAGGGGTCAATTACAAGCATTTTTGGGGAATGGACATACACCGAAATCCTACGCACTTTCGAGAAAAAAATTCTTTACCGAAAATCTAATGTGAGGCCAGAAATACTGCTTCTCTGATGCGAATCTTTAAAATGTCATAACTTCTGAACGGATTGGAGGATTTTAATTTTTCAACATGCAAACAACGCGTATTTTAGTGGAAAATATGTAGAAATTTTAACAATATTGTAAAAGTTGTTCCTTGACCCCGTAAAGTTAGAAAACCCCCCTAAAATTGGTCCAATTTTCAAACAGCCGGAACTCCTACAATTTCAAAGATATCTCACTGAAATTTTTTTCTGAAGCAGAGCCCATGGGTACCTACAAAAAAGTATTAGACAACTTTTCTGTAGAGCGTTAAACAAATTTATTAAAAAAGGAAAAACAAATTGTTAAGAATAATCGAAAAGGGAGTAAATAAAGTGCCCAAATTTTTCCGTGAAATTGAAAAGTTTCAAATCATTCTGGAAAAATTATTTTCCATTGCAGGGGACAATTACAATCAGTTTTGGTTATTAGACATACCCTCGAAATCTTACTCACTTTCAAGAAAAAAATTCGAGAACATGTGAAATTTTTCGACAAAATTAAAAAATTTCAAATCGTTCTGGAAAAATTATTTTCTGTTGCGGGGATCAATTACAATAATTTGTGATGAATGGACCTACCCCCGAAATCCTACCGATATTCTAGAAAAAAATTCAGCACGAGCGAAACTTTAAACGTTAATAACTTTTTAATCGAGCCTCCTACCTGAATTTTTTTCTCGAAAATGCGCAGGATTCCGGGAGTATGTGTATTCACCAAAAACGATTGTAATTAATCACCGAACCAAAAATAATTTTTTCAGAATGATTTGAAATTTTTTAATAACTTTTTAAAGAAGCCTCAGTCAAAAAATTGATATTCTTGATTTTCGTCTTATTTTGGCCTCTAGAATCTCCCATTAAAATTTTTTCCAGGATTGACCAAACATCCTGTATAATAGACATTTTGTTAGTGTTTAATAATATTATCTGGAATAATATTGAATTACATATTTTTAAATAATCCAAAAACTAAATGTTTTTCACTATAAATTGTCTATGAAAATAATATTGTATATCATATAAGGAATACATTTCTGGTTTATTTTGCTACATTTGTGTGAGACAATTACATTTAAAACATTGCAGAGACCAATTAAATAAACATAAATACTAAAATAATTAGACATAGTAAAAATAATTAAAATGTCACTAAAATTTTTGATCTGGCCAACTGCGCGCCGTCTCCTCCCTTCCAAGCACCCTTACAACGATGCTCTTGGAAGGGGGTGCGTGTCGCTAAAACGTTGGAAAAAGTTGCCGCTTTTGGACAACGAGCAGGTAAACTTTCTGTCGATTTGCAGTTAGGGAGACTCATGGTAGGGATGTGTGCTGGTAGATCTGAAGGTTGACCGTACACGCGGTCAAAGAATTTTTGCCCTACCATAAACCTCGCCTAAGAATGAGAGGCGACGGCGAGCTGTTACAACGCGTAACTGATCTAATGAGAATGATTCAGTGTTCATTGAAATCAATATCAGTATTCATTAAAAAATGAAATGAAAACAAAAGAATACAAACACACATAAATTCAAACATAAACTTCTTATAAAGTTTTATTTTCAAATACTTTTCACGCATATTTACAGTATGTAGAACAACAATTTGTGGTTTAATGATTCGATATTATTCTAGAACGCAATCTTTTGAATTAACCTGACGAAGATGAATGCAGAAATTAGTCTTGAATACACGAATATTCTCGTAAATATTGTAGGATTCGTCTGAATCTGCGTGTAATTGAGCAAATAAATGAACGTCACGCACAAGAATGCATTATTCAGTTCTCCAGGGTGTGAAGCACTCACGGTGAAATTAAAACGAGAAAATCGGGAAACGTGCTGGAACGAAAATACGAAATTTCATAAAGTGCAACAAATTCCAGCAGAATTGACAACGAATAAATTAGGCTACGATAAAATGTTACGATTTCACTGTCAGGTTCAAATATTCTATAAGTTGCAGTCTGAATGATTATATCATGCGAATTTCGTCGATAAATCTACAGACTGTGCATAGTCTGCGTGGGTTGAATCCATTGCCCATTACTCGATAATGTATTCGGCACTCTCGAAATTACAGATACATCGACGATAATTTCTCTTACTATGATAAATGCATTAGTCATTCTAACAGAAAATCTGATAGGTATAATGTTTCTAAGTAATACAAAAAGGAAAGAATTGAATAAGAAAACTGTTACTGATACAATTCAACGCACCGACTGCCAAGCTAACTTTTAAAATAAACTTCATTAAAGCCCGCTTCACGATTCTTTGTAATTCGCTTTATTTCGACTATGAAACACTACTTTTATTAGTAGTAGAACGATAAGTGAACGATAGTCGTCCCCAGTACTGACAAGAGTGGATTTTGGCACTTCACAAAGCTCAACGTCAAACGGACGGGTAGTGTAATTTGATCCGGGCTCAAATATCGATGAGACAATATACAATATGTACAGTCAGTCCTATTAGTATTCGTACCCTTATTGCTTATAGAAAAAATATATTTATATCAAGGGATGCATGTAAAATTTTGCAATAAACTTTTTATTACAAATGAACGCATGTATAAAATTTATTTATATTACATTATAACAAAATTGATTAACTAATAACAAAAATATATTGATTTTACTCTGCATAATACATAATGCATAGATGAAGCTTCTTTACTTTTATTTTATTCTTAATGAAACTATTACCAATGTGTTTCTGAGATTTTTCTGATTAAAATAAGACTAAACACGATATGATTTGGATAATATTTACCTATTAATATTAATTGTTTATTGTGACTAATTAAATACGCAAATATGTACAAATTATATCGTGTTTGATCTTATTTTAATAAAAAAATCCTTAGAAACATATTGGTAAATTTCCCACCAACAAAAAATGTGTAAAAACGTCCAAAACTCGGACAAAATATGAAAGCGTAATATTATTTGTAGGAAAATTAGTATATTAGGGCTGTCGAAGTCGCTGGTTACGAACTTGATGGCACATTAAACATTTAATAACGTTCACTGATAAAAAAATGTTTTCATTCATAAAATAGTAAAGTTTTGGATATGCCATTACCATATTGACATTACTGAATAACAAATACGAGGATGTTATCTAATCAAACACAAATTATAAAATCCATTTGTTTTTATTCTAACTTTGTGAAATTATAAGGAATATACAAAAGGCATGTTTATACATATATGTATACATATAAGTTAAACTTTCGCCTTTAATAAAACTGTGAGTCTAATCATCAAATCAATCACGGCCCTTGAACAAGCTCTGAGCTACAATTCGAGGGACTTCGCCCTCCAAATCTTTCTTCACCACCAAACCCAGCCCTATTCCCCTTCACACTCAAATTAATGTTGGTGGTATTAGAATTCAATTTTATGGAGTAGCAACAATTTTTTGCATATATCTCGAAAATTAAAGCCAAACGGCGTTAACATGTATAAGGGAAAGTTGTTTAGAATACATATTGATATCCACAATATATTTAAATATCATCCAAATCGGCGAGGCGACCATGATTTCAAATAATTACCGTGTTATCTATTGTAGCATAGGAATATTTTACTGAACGATGAGCCACACGTTTTTTTTATCCTTGTATACAGGGTGTTCGGCCACCCTTGGCGAAAAATTTTAATGGGAGATTCTGGAGGTCAAAATAAGACGAAAATCAAGAATATCAATTTGTTGATTGAGACTTCGTTAAAAAGTTCCGCCTGTAGAACGGCAATCTGCCAACAGCTGCGTACACGCGATAGTGGTTCTCACTCAAAAAACTGTAAGGCTGCCGATGAGTCAGTAAGTCGAGTTTCTCATGCTGAGTGAGAACCACTATCGCATGCACGCAGCTGTACGCAGATGCCGTTCTACAGGCGGAACTCTAAACGTTAATAACTTTTTAACGAAGTCTCGATCAACAAATTGGCATTCTTGATTTTCGTCTTATTTTGACCTCCAGAATCTCTTATTAAAATTTTTTCCAGGGGTGGCCGAACATCTTTGTAAATTTCAACAAGTGACTAACGTGCGTCGTGTATAGTAAATCTAAGAGTAATTCGTCTTCAATTTTATTGTCGATCCACATAAAACCCTACAACGATCATAAACTTATTTGCTGTTTATTGATCCCTTGGTAAGAGTGGTTCTTCACTTGTAATCGGCACATCACGTGTAAACTTATACCAAACCCAAAAGAAATTCGATCTCGGATATTTAACACCGTTGGTGCAACTTACCGTCTTGGTAAGGGCCATCGTGACAGAGTTCCATAGTCGCCTGGTTAACACCGGCGAAGTATTGATAAAAGCTTTCCCTTTCCTTTTCCTTCAAGCAATCGATCGTATACGTCTGCATGCACTTCATGCTATCTTCGATGTATCTACAAGAACAAGAAAAAATCGATGTTACGAACATGAAAGTATAATGATAATTAGGATCTGGAAGCGCACCAGAGCCCTGGCAACGACGGAATTTCAGAGATTTTAAGGTAACGGAGGCCATATTCCAGCGAATTCGTTTTCAACGAAATCCGGAGCTGGAACGAGGATACACATTGTTCAACGCGGCGTGGGAACGTTTCGAGCTGTTCCGTCGTGTCTACGGGAAAAATATATCTCGTGAACGTGCAAACCGACTTGTTTAGTTTCGACCACTGCTAATTGCAGTAACGAACCATGCGGCCAAGAACCTCTCAACTATTCGGGCGGGACAAATCGGGATCACACAAGCGAGAAACGTTAATTTAACAACATCTATGTATTCTCGACTCTCTGTATTATTTAAAACCAGCGGGTATGTTGCTAATATCAAAAGCCTAAGCCGCCAATGTCACTAATGAAATGAATCTATTATTGTATATTCCACGATTCAACAAATATACAGGGTGTTCGGCCACCTCTGGGGAAAATTTTAATGGGAGATTCTAAAGGCCAAAATAAGACGAAAATCAAGAATACCAATTTGTTGATCGAGGCTTCGTTGAAAAGTTATTAACGTTTCAAGTTCCGCCTGTAGAACGGTAATCTGCGAACAGCTGCGTACGCGCGATAGTGGTTCTCACCCAGAAAACTGTAAGGCTGTCGATGAGTCAGTAAATAGAGCTTCTCATGCTGAGTGAGAACCACTATCGCGCGTACACAGCTGTTCTAAGATTGCCGATCTACAGGCGGAACTTTAAACATTAATATCTTTTTAACGAAGCTTCAATTAAAAAATTGGTATTCTTGATTTTCGTCTCATTTTGGCCTCTGGAATCTCCCATTCAAATTTTTCCCAGAGGTGGCCGAACACCTTGTATAATATAACATTTTCAAAGAGCAGACTGCTGATTGATACTTCAGTATATTTTACTCGAGTGGAAAATTCGAGAAAAATATTTCGAGAAAAATATACTTTTTACAGACTGTAATATACAATAATGCATCAATGAAAACAAATTAAATAGTATGTTAAAGTAAAATAAATGTATAACATAAATGTTACTGCAATAGTGTCGATGAAAATTACAAAATAATTAGAAATATTTGAAACACTTTTCTAAACATTAATAAATGAGTTACAGTTGTTATTACTAATATTTACCATACTTTCATATATTATTTTATAATACGTATATCCATAAAATAAATGCAATTCTAATTTTCTGTCGCGTAAAATGTTATTCCAATAAAGTTGTCTTTGTACATTAAAGTACCTCTGAGAGCTTTTTCTTTCTGAAACGTTTTTTAACTGATAAGTTTAAACGAGGTTGTACAAATCAAATGTATTGAAGTATAAATTTAATAAGATATAGAAAGTACATTTATTTTCTTATTTGTAATTAAGAGAAAATCCTGACAAGAGACTAAAGAAAGTTTTTAATAACGTTTGAAACGATCGATGTTGCTTGTTCTCAAAATAATATTTCAACTGTTTTCTTACGCTTTTTGTAAATTTAAAATTACCTTTAATCGTTAAATAATATTTTTTTTAGAGATAATGATCAGGTTTAAAAGCTTTCGAAGAAGTATGAGGTAATAATTTGACACGCGTTATGTAAGAATCTAGTATCTCCGTAATGCGACAATTCCATTATTACCAGTAATGTGGGTAATAAAAAGAGAATCCCAACAACGGAACCAGAACGTCTTTCTCCGTCAGCGATACAATTATCTTATTGTTGCTTACTGGAGCGATCATGACTCTTTTTCTTTTACTTCCTTCACTCTTTCTCGACGGCCGTTGAGTGGTATTACATTAACATTTTTAATTACAATTTCAATTTTGTTAAGTGGAGATCTTGAGGAAATTATGAAAGAGTATATATTATATCACGGTTAACGTTTACAAAACTCAAAATTGTCGTTAAATCACCATTACTGCAAAACTAGAGTAAGCTGCAAACGAATTAAAATGCAACCATGTCGTTCTTCCCTAATCGACGTGTTGACGTTAACACGTTAGTTTGAAAATTTTGATATACAACAACGATGACCAAATCGCGACTCATAAACCCCATGTAACTCTTTTAGACCCTTATTTTAACTTCTGTATAATTATTCAATTTAAATGCTCTCTATAAATTTATTAATCAACACCTAAAGGAATGCAGAGTGTAATTATCGAATATGAACTAAATTTTAAAGAGTTAATATATTCTCAACTAGAAATCTATAAATCTTCTATCAATAAGTAATCGAAAACTTTAGAAATTACTAAAGAAATTAATTTATAATTAATATTTTTTGAGAAAGATATTGTTTTATAGATAGCCTCTTTTACAAGATTAGAAATTTGTAGGATTCTAATGAAGCATAATAATAATATGTAGTACAGTAATTTAGCCGCATAAATGTATTGCATACATAAAATACTGTTTCAAAATAGAATGAAGCTCTCGAGTAGTTTTGATAAACGATATACCTATGGCTCCTATCATGACAAAGGATTTAACCACAGATTTAATCATCATTGATATAAGAATCTATTCTTATTTTCAGAAACGTTCGATGTACCAGGTATGACTATAAAGTTTCAAGAATAAGTTTGTTTTTGTTTTGAGGGATACAGAGTCCAGATAAATCGAGATCTGGGGGAAAATAGCTAAAAACATATTTTCTGTATATGTACAATTAAACATTTTATTCGTAGAATATCTATTTTCTGTTACAATACATACAATAATTACACATTCTTCATTATTTTTTACCTTATACTATATGTGTATATTGTTACTTTATATTATCGTTATCTGTCTAAACTCTTTTCATTTCATTAGTTTTACATTTATAACTGCTTTGTCATGTTATTTCTTTGTAATCGTCAAATCTTCTGTCGTTACATTTTTTTGTTGCTCCAAATACTGAAGAGCACGATTTAGAATTGAAGCACCCTTATTATGGTCAAACCTTTCATTGTTAACACCTTAATCATCGGATGCACTTTGAGAAGTGGTGATTATATCTGCATCAGTCGTCTCTACGTTTGTATCAGACCATCCTTCCAGATTCTAAATCAATTGCAAGATTTCGCCCTTGTTGTTGCTATCAACTTGTTGTACTGAATCGATAACTCCAAACTCCCAAGGCTCAGATCGTGACGATACGATAGTTTGTTTTTGAATCTTGTTCTATGCATTGTCAATCGTGTAAATAACGTCTTTAATGTTAAGAAATTTCAAAGCAACTACAAAATTATTATTTGACTGCAAAAAAAGATGAAACAGTAAATACCAACGAAATAGCCTTTGAAGGAAGTCCTTTATCTTTCAAAAATTTCATTATCTCTGGCGCAAAGCATTCGTAGTCATCCAAGCAGTGTACTGTTGGTATATTTACATGGCAGAGCATTTCTATTCAGGTGCTTTAGTACCCTAGGATTTTTTGATTTTCCAATAATGAATAAAGTAGTTTATGGCTTCTTGATGCATTTGCACACACCAAGATGGTTACGCGATCTTTACTCTTTTTATTGCTTGGAGCATTCCTTTTTATTCTCGAAACTAATGTTTCTGAAAGCAGGATTCTATAGTAGATAAAGTCCTGTCTCATCTTCATTATAAACTTGTTCAGCTCTTAAATCTCTTTATCACCGTGGTTCATTGCATTATACAACTTCAAAGTTTTAACTTGTAAACAAGGGTCGCTAATAAGTAAGCCTAAATCTCTTTAACGTGAGAACCAAAAGAATGCTTTTTCCGTGTTCTTCTTAGCAGTTTTTTTCGTAGTCATTCTTGGACTTATTTCATGACTAATTACTTTAATTGAATAATCTTTTATTGGTGTTTGCTTTTTCTTTTATTTTTGAGCAGTAGATACCTACTCCAAACTCCAAGATCAGAAACAATCGATTTTATTGAATCGCTCGAATCTATTATTGGCTCTTTTTCTTTTACAACTCACATTTATACTTTGAATATTTATTTAATATGTAATTGCGATACATACAACTGGCTTTTGAAGCGGTGAATAAATAACTGAGACAGAAATCTTATAGAAACTGAAGGAAAACATTAGATCCATTTGTCCGATCGCTTGTACAAACGGTTGTTGTCAGTAAATAGCTGGATAACCGAGACCACGAATAATGGAGAGCCAGCTAAACGAGGTTCTACCGTAATTATATTCAGCCACTGTTTAGCTTAGTGTTTACTCTATCTACATACAAAGATTGGTACGTATGGAGTATTGAGTACTCTATTACGTAAAAAATGGAATATAATTTAAAGCAAAAAATTTTCATGAAATTTTTTGATAAAAAGTGGTGAGTCGTTGACAAACATTTTTGATTGGACAAAACAGTTTTGAGGGGTGCATGAATCCGTTAAACATGTTAAGCATTCGGGGTATTCTTTCACGACTCGACTATACAGTCATTCTGGTGAAAAATTTGTAACTTAAAAATCAATCACAACGTTGAAAAACCTCGTATTCATTTAATTTGTCGTCGTAGGAATTGTTTGTACTTCCTCAAATAAAAAGTGCTATGAAAGGAACGCATTTTCAATCAATTTCTGAAATCCAAATCAACGTAACGCGGACATTAAACCAAATGAGATCCAGAAATATTATGATTAATGGATCTGATGCTAGAATGCGCATATACAATTTGAAGGTAAAATAGTCTCACATTTGTTTAATTTTCAAAAATAAAATTGTTTAATAAGTTATTCTTGAAACTTCATTCTAATACCTGACTAAAATAATTATGAGAAAAGGAAGTTATGGCAACGAATGATTCCGCCTTGTATCGGTTTCGGTTCTGGTTCTGAAGGATCAATATTATATCGGTTTTATAATTACTATTCTTCCGTTCTATATTGATTACAAGACACATATATTAATATTTTTAATATCGGCTCTTAGTAATTCTTTTATAGCATCTGCAAACAGGTTAAAATAC